GTACCTGTCTAACATATGTGGAAAATTCTACTACCCTTGTCGCCAAAAGGAAGGGCAGAAAATTCGGAATTTATTAACTCTATCTCAAAGTTGTGGAGTTACCTGGTATGAACATGGACAATAAATTATTTCTGAAACTTTATCCAGTAAATGGTACTGCTTCAGTGTTAAACATTTCTAATAAACAAACGAAAATGGAGTTACAATCCACCACAGTGCCCAAGTTCCAATCCTACAGTCAAGTTCTAGCAATCTTGTTCTTCTTCCTTCTCTTGGCTCTAAATGCTAGTATGAAGCTGGGATTAATAGTTGATCACCTGGAACAGTCGTTCATTGTCTCTTCACTCTAGTCACTATGATAAAAACTGTCAACCATTTCACAACCTATTGAAAGTTTCACAAAATTCTACTGAGTTATTCTCCCATAGCTCGGCTACTGTAGTAATTACTTTGACTTTGAAACTGATATGATGCCATTATCCCATTATCACTATTGTGTTAGGATATTATTTTGCATTTTGAAGATGCTGTTTGCTGCTGTAGACTCACTGATCAGGAACTAATTGAAAAAATTGTTCCAATTGTCTGTCTACATGAAAATTTTAAGTGGTATATCTGACTGAGTGATCAGCTTTCTTTGCATTCCTTTGCAAACCCAAGGCGCAGTGTAGTATACTGTTGAGATTCCGAACCACCAATATGGAAAGTTTGAGGAGAAAGCATGTTGTGCTTTTCCAGTGACTTCGTGGGTAAATCCCAAAACTTAATATGACGCACATAATTTTAGGTACTACTTTCATACTACTGCTGTTTGTAAGTAGTTTGCTAAAAACATCAAATTATTTAAAATTACGTTAATGGGGTATTGATTATTTGCATGTAACCGTAGTAACATTATAAACAGCAAAAACTCAATGAAGGTAGTACGCTGAGCCAACAATACTGAAATGGGTGAGTATGGAACTTACGAACACAAGACTCCGGTGATAGCATGGATTTTATAGGAAAGAACTACATAGAAGCGATAAACGGAAGCTCTCCGTAGAATGCATGGAAGTTGCGGTCACATCAGTTAAAACCAGCTAGTTCGTGTTGTACAGATGCATAGAATTTAGCCGTAACAAACTAGTTGAAAATGTTTCGCTGATTTTTCTTTCGCAGAAGCTTCATCCCAACGCTTATTTTACGGCACTGTGAAGACAGCCAGCTAGACAAAACCAAAGTAGGAACTCACATAAAAGTGTATTGGTTCAAGTTGCCACAAATAACAGCAGCATGCAAAGAACAGGTCGAAAGAAAAAGGGTGATATGAGAGTAGTTAAGGGTGTATGGGAGGAGGAAAAATTTAGAGATGAACGTAAGTCAAAACGTCCAAGATTTCGAAGACGTCAAAGAATGTCACAACGCCGATTACTCCAAGTATTCCTTGGAACCGAAATTTATACCGTTACAGAGGTATGAAATTTCTAATACTTCAGAAATCCTCTTAAACTGGTAATTTAGTCGCAAAAAATTGTAATTTAACATGCACGTAAAACGTGGCACTGTAGCAGAATTTAATTCTACCTTAGAGACTTGTTGATTTGATTTATAACACAGTGATATAGTATTATTTACTTGATAACAACGTTTCCAGCATAACGTTTTGCTCATAATCACATCAATGTAATCACACTCCTTTTGACATCCGATTTTCATAGTCCTGTCACATTATATTACTTGCTTTTATTGGTAGTAAAATTTTCCATATCTCTGGTATAGGTGTTGCGTCATTTCTATTACCTGTGTTGGGTATTGATCCGATGAACAAAGATTCAGTAACCAATTCCTCACCCTCTTGATCTAATTATTATAATTATTTATTATTATTTGTCCCTTGGGTTCCTAATGGAACGTAGGGCTCAACTAGCACGTATCCAATGCGCTCTGTTCTCTAAAATCTTTTGAAACTGGTTCCACGACAGCCCTCCTCGCACGATCTCCTCCATGTCACCCTCGGACGCTCAACTCGTCGCTTCCCATTGGTGTTCTACTCGACGAACTGATGCGTGATGTCCCCAGTCGGCCCTCTCAGTGTATGCCCAGTCCATCTCCACTTCCTTCTGCATATTTCTTGAGTGATAGCTTCTTGGTTGGTTCCATCTAATTATATTGGACTTAATTACAATACAGTGGTTTTATCACACTCAGACTATCGTATGATTGTGTTCTGATGCATGAGTTGGTATATTCCAGTTTCTTCTAGATTGTTCATCTTATTGAGATCTGTCATTCTATATTTGGCTAAATTCTTATGTTCGTCTACTCCAACTAACCCCAACCGGATAGTTTGATCTATGTACTTGACATGGGAGTCATCACATCGAATTTCATAAATTAGATTATCATCTGACTATCTGAGGTAGCCGTAGTTTGGCAGACTGGTATTTATACCAGGTGATGGTTGAAGGTGAAATGAAAATTTGGACTGCTGCCAGACTCGAACCAGTGACCACCGGGCTTCCGGCTCGATGCTCTGCCAACTGAGCTACGAGGTTGATGTGTTCTCATTTCAACACAGTAAATGTGTCATCCACATTAACTCAGTAGTAGGCGCAATCCAATTCACTTCCTAAGTCAACAAAATGAACAAGGAGAATTACCGGGATAATGTCGTATTCCGGGATAAAAAGGGTGGTTTGCATACTACCGTCTACAAAAAGCGACACGTTCCAACAGCTATCTAAACTTCAAGCCATCCCATTCAATGACAGTTAATCTAGGCTTAGTCAAATATCTGATTGATAGAGCCAGAAAACTGACCAGTCAGTGCAACAACCTAAACAAGGAATTGAAACACGTAAAATAAACGCTAATAGTTAATGATTATCCTCTACAGTTCATTCAGAAATTCATCTGAACACATAAGAAACGAGATAACAACAGTAAGACGAGTACGAATAATAATGACGACACAAGTAGAAAGGAGTTCATAGCTTCCATTTTGTTACCCTATAAGGAAGGTACGTCAGAGACTTTAGGTAGGATCCTCAACATAGCTAGAAAGAACTAGGGGAGCATTTAAGCCTACCAACTCGCTCGGAGGTAAGCTGTATCCGTTTAAGGATCCGACAAAACCAAATAAGCAAAATAAACTAATTTGTGAAATTCGATGTGATGACTCCCATGTCAAGTACATAGATCAAACTATCCGGTTGGGGTTAGTTGGAGTAGACGAACATAAGAATTTAGCCAAATATAGAATGACAGATCTCAATAAGATGAACAATCTAGAAGAAACTGGAATATACCAACTCATGCATCAGAACACAATCATACGATAGTCTGAGTGTGATAAAACCACTGTATTGTAATTAAGTCCAATATAATTAGATGGAACCAACCAAGAAGCTATCACTCAAGAAATATGCAGAAGGAAGTGGAGATGGACTGGGCATACACTGAGAGGGCCGACTGGGGACATCACGCATCAGTTCGTCGAGTAGAACACCAATGGGAAGCGACGAGTTGAGCGTCCGAGGGTGACATGGAGGAGATCGTGCGAGGAGGGCTGTCGTGGAACCAGTTTCAAAAGATTTTAGAGAACAGAGCGCATTGGATACGTGCTAGTTGAGCCCTACGTTCCATTAGGAACCCAAGGGACAAATAATAATAAATAATTATAATAATTAGATCAAGAGGGTGAGGAATTGGTTACTGAATCTTTGTTCATCGGATCAATACCCAACACAGGTAATAGAAATGACGCAACACCTATACCAGAGATATGGAAAATTTTACTACCAATAAAAGCAAGTAATATAACGTGACAGGACTATGAAAATCGGATGTCAAAAGGAGTGTGATTACATTGATGTGATTATGAGCAAAACGTTATGCTGGAAACGTTGTTATCAAGTAAATAATACTATATCACTGTGTTATAAATCAAATCAACAAATCTTATGTGAAAGTAAGCTGTACTTTGTCTTTCTGAAACAGAATGCATGTCACACACACACATACATATAACATTTGGTAGTCAGGAAACCGAAATTCTTATGCAGTGACTGGTCCCTTGATATCTAATATGTATTCATCTTCAAATGACTTGATACCCTGGAAAGATGATGGACGATGTTTCGCACAATGGATTCGTGCCAGATTTTGAAAGTGTGGAGATGTGAATTCACTTGATCACTACCATGTGACTAGATTTTTAGTTGGGTTTTTATGGTTCTGGTCTGCTTTTGCATAGACAGTGATGATCGTGTCAACTGAAGTACTTTTTTATATTTCTTATTCACAAGCACACACAATCAATTACTATTAAGAGGGTTGGCAATGTTGGTCTAAGTACAAAATCAAGGCAGGAGTACTTATTACCGATGGCTATTAGTTCAAACCGAAGTGGAGGAATGCACACTTGACATCGGGAACATCAAATATTGATTCTTGAAGATTTTGGGCAGGATGATTCAAAATCAGTAGCAGTACTATATCTTATTCGATCAGTGGTATTATTCTACAATATGATCGTTCAGTTTTTTTCTGATCATCATACTTGAGTTAGAATCTCGGTAAATGTACCACAGAAGTTAGTATTTCGCGAATTTGACTATTATTAGACATGAATTCGCAGCGTTAGTTATGGAATAGAGCGTGTAGAGATACAGCTAATTCAGGAATTACCACAAGCCAGGAATATAAATGAAGACGCAAGTGAAATATGCAACCTCACCGGAGAATAAAAGGCCAATCACCTCCTTTTGAAACTTATTACACCGACAATCCATTATTAGCTAGAATTATTTCACCAATGTTAGCAAAGTCAACTTGATACGAAGAATACAACTTATAAGATATGATCACTCAGTGAAGGCTACGTTATTCTAGGTTGTTTGTTTTGTGCACCATTGACAGCCTTTTTTGTAGAGCATAGAAGAAATTGAATTACTGGCTAAGTGACTCGCTTCCTTTTGTAGGCTTCTTTTTGGATATCGTTTGAACTAATGGATTATATGAAAGGATTCTTAACACCAGGTAGTCTGATACTTTCATCACTAACACATCTTAGGCTGGTCATCAAGTTTTCTTAAATGCTACCACGAAATCTCAATCAATGTACCATTTTCTATGGTGTAGTATTTAGTGAAGACAAAAGTCAAGCAGTTAAGATAAGCAGTAATTTATATCTGACAGTTGAAGTAAAAATACTTTTGGAAATAACTAATTTTTATGCTTCTTCTTATGAATAATGTATTGCGTACTTTGTAATTTTAGTGAATGATCGTGAATGGTCTTTTTTGAAGAAAATACCAAGAAAAAATTGGAGTCATCGCAAACCGAAAGTACAACTGAACAATCGTGATGAACTGATAAGAACAGATCAGGCTAAAAATAGTAACCAGACAACCTTAACTAATTTTAACATAAAAAACAGGTATGCATTAAAATTATGGTGATCAATCTTCTTCTTTCTTTTTTTCTAAAATGCACTTATGCATCATACTACTTTGTTCTTTTCCTCTGTCAGTTGATAGATTTTTCCCATATCTCGTTACAATATGTACTAGTATTCTCCTACCCAGTATACAGAGACAGTAAGGTTGACGACGCTTAATTTATTCGCTGTTCACTTCTATCCATTTGTGTTGTCCAATAAATGGTTAATAGTAAACAGCCATCTTTTGCATTTCTACAGTTCCTGGTTATGTATCTGATGATGTGTAAACATGGAGCCTAGCTAACAGCTTAAAAATACTAGAATGATAATCTCTGCATTTCAAAGTAAGTAAATTCTAATCTATTTGAATAGTGTTATTGCTTGTATTACACCGTCCTTGGTTGGATCGAATTTATCAGTCTCTGTTAGCATATAGGCTCCTGTGCGGATGTCTTGATATTGCCTGTGTTTTAATTGTTTATAGTAATGAAGGGTAGTGGCTAGCAGTGGAAGCGATCGCTCCAGAGTCCAAATCCCGGTGGGAACAACATCACTGACTGCGAGGCAGGCACATCCAGCTGACGAGTCTCAAATAGGACGAAATGCACATCCTGGATTCCACTGCTAGCCACTACCCGTCATTAATATTTGAACGGCATTTCAAAATGCTGACTGCCTTGGCCTACTACTCACAAAACAAACTTAGCAAGTAATATCGACCCGTAAAATAGCAACTGAAGGTTATGTCCTAGCCTTCAGCAGTCATACAAGTTCTAAATCTTTATTTCGAAGATTACAACACCTGGAATAGAGGGTTTTTACCATATGCCTTCATTTGAACCATGTACAAACGATATAATTCCTCTGTTTTATACGTTATTTCGTTATAGTTGTCACCAAGTTTGATAGAACTCATTTTCTTATACTCTGAAAGCCTATTTTAATCAATAACCTAGTTTGTATTCGATGTTTGAAAATTTGATCCATTTGTTCGAGTAATCAAAAATGCTTCTCTTTGTTTTATTTTCATGTGGGCAATGATATATAAACAGGAGGATTTCCTACAGTCACGGGTCACATTATGTAGTAGTCAAAGGTGGTGCATTTGAATTGCTTCACATCTACTCAGTAAGTGTATATAATTTATATTTCATGGCATTAATTGTAATATTTTCATAGGCTATCTAAGCGAGAAGTGTACAACAGTTTATGAGACTACTATAAATTTGAAATCATGTTAATTTTAGCCACATATTTGCTTAGCAGACAAGCTTACAGCTGTTTAGTGAGCCGTCGAAGGACTTTATGCTTACTGGTATTCAAGGTACGGAATAGCTGCATATTCGTCGATTTGCAGTCGAAGGTATTTTTCAGATTGAAGCTTCTCAATCAACCGAATTTCATACTAACTTCGCTGTTCGTGAATCTTATTGAATCGTATTCAGTCTTTTGGCATTCAAACCTCATGCTGTAGAAGGCAAACATGGGAGCGGTATCCATTTACCAGCAGCAGTAGTAACATTCATGTATTAAAATATTCCAACACTTTTCCAGGAACTGTTTATGCTTTTTTATTCAGTTGCAATGATGTTACATGTAACCACAAAAAAAACTATTGTTTTGCCATAATAACTTGTTCTGACTGAAATTTGGCAAACAGATGATACCAGTTAACTCACTAACTAAGTAACTGACAACTATTGGGCACTGTATTCGACTTATAGATAAAATATAGGGAATTGTCTAAGATTTCCATATCATAAGTTTGGGAAATAAAATAGGGTAATATATTTTAACTACAATAGAGCAGTTTGTCTAGTTCATCCCAACAATAAGTAGGGTCTGACATAAAACTTTAAAAAAACATAAATGCGTGGTACAGAAGTTTGTTGATTTTTTTTTCTGAAAGTCTGTTTTAACCCATATATATATATATATATATATATATATATATATATATATATATATATTACTGGTTTCCAAAAATCAGTAACCGATGAATAAACAAGCGCTGAAATAGCATCTGCTGATTTCTTCCCCACTGGCTGGACTGATTTGAAGTTTTTAATATATTATCAACGAATAAACTCATACATGAAAATGGAACAAACTATGATAGACAGTGATGAATAGCTAATCCTACCATGTTAGGCCATGAACAGACTGAATGTAATAACTGACACTAAAATGTTTTATTAGATTTGGTTACAGTCTCAGAAGTACCGCATCCCATCATGTGCTTGTTGGTCAACAAGGTGGTGAATGATTTTGATAGCTTTATATCGGAGATAAAAGTAGATAATACCCAAGAAGAACAAACGTATAATGCTCGTTCTGTGTGGTTGAAGGCCTGATTAATGAACTGCCTAAAGTGTTCACACCTACGAACATAATCTATACAGTTGTTATCACGAGTGAAAAATGGCGAAGAGATATTCATAAATTGTATACAGCTGTTTAAACTGCCACCTTCAGACACGATCGCAAGATTCCAGAAGTGGATGATTACACCATCTTAGAATATGTGAAGAGGAGGATTAGGTAAGGTAGCCAATTCACAACTAAAATGAAGTTTTAGATATCTAGAACTTTAGTAATAATAATGATAATCATTTTATTCTCAACAATTAGAAATTTTCAGTATAATATAGTGTTTATATGAAAATTTATGAAAAGAATATTGATAGCGAAGAATATTTTACACTGTCAGTTAAACCAATGGTCATCGATTATTATTGTTTAAACGTTGATAAATGGTCCTTTAACTTTCAGAATAGTCATACGCTTGACAGCCTGGTGTTATGCACCATATGGCTTCCCTTAATTCGGCTATCAACTTATAGAGTGACAGGTCGTAACGATTTTAAAAAGGAACAAGAGCATATAGTACAATTAAATAACGTAAATAATAAATGATTTAAACAATGTAAAAAGTAGAAATTTGATGCAATATATTCTGTGGTAAAATGAGATTGCTCAAAGTTCTAGCAGGTCAATGACCTAAGTGTTGAATAGAAAATAAGAAAAGAAAATCTTGGTTGTTTTGTGTTCTCTTAGCTAAGTTGTCTCATCGTGGAGCCTTCATCGTCTTTCTAGACAACATCATCACCATTAACTTCAGTATGAAGTGAGCTGTCAATATCTTCCCAAGAGTGATTTAGTAGCTTGCCCTGATCAACTAGTTTGTGATTGGTTGTTTGCTTTGTTTGTTGTGTCACTGACTGTGTGGATTTTCGTGTTGCCTGTTTCTCTGGTTGATCTCTGACCTTCTTATCGTTTATCACCTTTCTCATTGATTGATAGATTGGGTCCATATCTATACATCTATTGATTGCTGACTGACTGATATGAATGCCGAGCTTCTAGGAATTCTCTGATATTCTTTATGTTTCTTCTATCCAAAATTTCTACATTGTCGAAATCGAACTCATGTTCATAATTATCCACATGCATTGAAGTGATTGATGAAATGTCGTGACGTTTAATAGCCCATTGGTGTTCATGTAGATGAAGGTGAAGAGGGCTACCACTTTGTGCAATATAGTGTTGACCACACTTGTTTCAGTTGATTTTGTGAATGATATTCGGTTTGTCTTCTTTGGTTGTCGCATGCTTTGGTCTGCATAATAGTGTTTGGAGGGAATTTGTTGGTATATGAGCCACACCAATTCCAAGTAGTTTCAGTAATCTTGTCATGATTTCTGATATATTCTTTATGTATGGTAGGATGATGCAATTATTGATTTCTGTCTATGACTTTGTAGTTGATGATGCATGGGATAGGCATCTTCGGATAAAGTTTTGTGGGTAGCCGTTCTTCTTTAGGGTGAACATCAGTTAGTTTTCTTCGTTTCTGCGTGAGGTTGTTGTGCTGCGGTGTGTCCTCGCTCTTTTGAATAGAGTCTGCACGCAACTGGTTTTGTGTGTTGTTGGGTTGTTGCTATTGTAGTTGAGGATTTGGTCAGTGTGTGTTGGCTTCCTCTACACTTGGGTTTCCAGCTTTCTGACATTTGTCCTACTGACTTAAACATCCAGGAATGGTAGTTGGTTGTTCGACTCCTTCTCCATTGTGAATTCGATGTCACTGAAAACGTTGTTGATCAAACTGTAAGTGTTCTCTATATCATCTTTTTCAATGATGACAAAAGTGTCGTCAACATAGTTAATCAAAATTTTTGGTTTGATCACAGGTAGAATAATGGTTTCCAGTCTTTGCACCACTGCTTCTGCAATTATTCGAGGTATCGGTTATCCCATTGGAGTTCCTTTCATCTGTTTGTATATCTTAGCATTGATTGGAAGTATGTTGTCATGCATAGATAGACAAGTCCCATCAAACCTGAACATTTAAGTTTTGTGTGTTTTGAAAGGTTTGTGTCTTCATTGAGCAGGAGGGACATCGTTTCCTTGGCTAGTTGAGGTTCGGTGGATGTGTATAGTGCTGTGACATCGAAGGATACCATTAACTCGTCTTTTTCAATGTTTATGTTTTTGATCTTTTCTAAGAATTTCATTGGTGACTTGATGGGACGTTCACATGATTGAACGATGTATTTCAGTTTTCTTAGGAGTCCTCTTGATATGTTGCATGTTGGAGTTCCTGGAAGTGAGACTATTGGTCATAGACTGATATCGGCTTGTCATATTTCTTCTGCTTTGAAGAGTTTGTTCAATGTTTTATTGATATTGTTGTCGAACTTTTGGATAGGGTTGGTTTCAAGTGGTTGATACAGATTTTCGTCTTTGGGTAATTCCTCTGCCTTCTTGATGTAGTCTTCTTTGTCCATGACTACAGTAGTGCGTCCGTCGTCAGCTGGAAGCATAACGATATCTTTCCTATTTTTCAGTCTTTTTAATGTTTTCTGTTCCTGAGTGTTCATTTGAGGGTGATATTTTTCTGCCTGGTTAGTGGTACGAATGTTTGTCGTATTTCTTGTTGAGTGACGTCATTTAATCCTGATGTTTTACGTGGTGATTCTAATGCCGAAAAGAATTCTAGTTTCGAGGCATCTCCTATGC